GTGTCGGCGGCGGTGCCGGGGGGCTCTCCCAGGGCGTCGGGGGGTGCTCGCCGCTGTGGTGTGCGTGGAGCGCATGCAACGCGGTAAGAGGCACGTCGGAGTCCCGTGATCCTGCGGCCCGTTCGACAGCCTCGCGCTTCCCGTTTGTGCTTTAAAGCTGTCGCTGGGCTACCTGGGGCAGAAGGAGGTTCCTGGCTTCCCGCGAAGCTTTCGCTTTTGTAGCCCTTGCCTTGGTCCCTTGACGTAGCGTGCCTGTTAAAAACCAGGAGATGAGATTGCAACTACTCTGGCATCGTCGAGGCGTTCGGAGACCTGCTGCTGCTTTTCTCTTGGTGTGCTTCCAGGTGGATTGCGTTTCAAGAGAAATAAGCATACTGTTAATTATTTTTCCTCTCTTAAAAAAAAAGCCCAAAGATTAAAGATACTAATACTAGCAAGAAAGCCACGAACACTACAAGTTCTTATTCATGAATATTTTTAAACTAATGTGGACCTCAGTTTGAAGTTATAACTGTGTTATTTAAAGAGAAGGCAAAAAGCTGCAACCACTGGACAAACAAAAAGCTGCAACCCAGCATCTAACGCAGAAAAATGCTACCTTAGGTAAGCTTCAAGGCGTAGTGCTTGACATCTCCCTGTCTGATGCTTCTGCAAACAGATGTTATTAACAGATTTTTTTAAACCAAAAAAAATAATTAAAAACTTGTTAGTAATATTGGTAATTTTTCTTGACAACATTGTCTCAGAAATGTGCTAATTTAGAGATGAAAGTATGACAAGATAAAGAAAAAGAAAAGAACATTTTAAGTGGAAGATGGGCTGCTTTGCTCCGTAGATAAGAACTGACTCATCAGGGAAGGGATCCTATAAAGTGGTTTTGAACATCATGCTTTCAGATACGAAATTGTTCTTTAATCATGTTAACTTTAAGTATGCCAGTAAAAACTCTGGTGTTTATTAGTCAAAAGTATCTGGCGGCAGGAAGGAGCTGTGTGCCTCCACCTGTGTCCAGGTGGTTTTGGCATTGTAGGTTACGTGCGAAACCCTCCTGGGTGGAGAGAGCTGTAGTAGCAGCCAAACCCAAATAAAAACAAGTACCTGCTCTGGTAGGTTGTGAGTCTTTGTATTGGGTAGAAGGATGGGACTCCCTTTTGGGGATGGACAGAAAGAAATCTGGGGACTACCCTCGTGTGTTTCCTCATCCTCTAGATGAGATTTAGAGAGGCAGGTGGACGGTCGCAGCAGGACCTCTGGGAGAGTCTTCCTGCAGATTTTATACTTGCCTGTGGCTATTAAGAGTGGGTTTGTAAATCTGTACTTTCTTTGTCAATAATATGGTTTTAATATGGCTCTTTCACTTCGAAATTTTACTGCCTTTTATCTGTGTACTATTTATTTAGAGCATGTGCGCAGTTTTCAGGTTGTGGAGTGTTCAGTCGAGTGCTGTATTCCCGAAGAAGCAGGGAAAGGTTTACTGCATAATGTCTCTGTGTAATAACTGCAGCAGCAAAACTACCTGAAACTTAACTTAGCGTTGGCCTCTTGGGATCCCGAAACTCTCTAGAACTTCTCTCTTGTCCATTTTCCATTTTAGTATGCTAAGCAAACAGCATGGTGTTATGGGGAGGAGGTTGGCATTTCCTGTTTTTATATTCAAATTGGGTCATTTCAGCTTAGATCCCCAAAGACGTGAGTCCAGATCCCAGGAGAAGTAAATGAACGGGAGGCCCTAATGGTGATGAGGGGTCAGGACAGAGAGAGGGTCACGCTGTGCCAGAGTTGAGCCCTGCCTGCAAGGCTGGTGCCAGTTAAACCGAGGTGCTTTGTGTTAGGGGAAGGCCAAGTCTGTTAGCTCACAAGTAGCAGAGTATTCCTCAAACTCCAGGGTTATCCAAGCTGTAGGGGAAAGACAGGATATCCTGAAGTGTGGGTGGTGCACAATTGGTGTTTTATTTTCTTTTTAAATAACCCCTATGACTTAGCTTAATATTTTCCTTGTCTTTTGCTTTGTTTTAAATCTCTTTCTAGTGAAAAAGCAAATTGAGCTGAAGTCCAGAGGGGTGAAGCTAATGCCCAGCAAAGACAATAACCAGAAGACATCAGTATGTAAGTTCCCTGCTCCTCATTACACTCTGTCTAATGATCTCCTTGCACATTTCATTTGACTTTTCAGTAATCTCTAAAACCTTGTCACTCTTGACAGTTTTAATGCTTTTCCCTCTCCTCCCTCTGCATTACTGCATCACTTCCTTCCAGTGCTCTATTCACAAGCATTTACTAACTCCTTGGAGTGGGAATGCAGGGGATTGGTATGTGTGCGTTTAATATATACTGTATGCTTCCGGTTCAGTGACAAACTGGGGTTCATTACTTCTGTGGCCTGGAAAGTGTCAAAATGTGAACAGTTTTGAAAACCGAATTAATATTTCTGTTGTGAAATTAGGAGTTGGGGTAAGGAACTACAGAAAATCCAGGGAAGCAATAGCAGTATCTCTCTTTTTACATTTTATTTAATTATTCCTCCTTGCAGACAGATCATACCGCTTTACTGTGCAAGAGCTTATAATGCCAACGTTAACAGTCTCCTGTTAAGTTACTCGCCTTCTGCGTGTCTAGTTGTTAATCTCTGTTAGAGGCGTGCTTAGATTATCGGTTTGCCACTGGTATGTTTTCTGCTTGCAGTAAGTGACTCCATTAGGTCTGTTCATCTTTACATTTGGTTCTTTTCAGATCAGAAGTAAGACTTTTAGTTTGTGTATGTGCATGATTCGGGGCAGATGCCTGGGCTCTTAAGGGGACTCGCAGATTAAGCAGGAAAGGTCTGGAGTTACCCTGTATTGTATTTTATAGAAATCCAGATAGCAGAACGCAGCACTTCTTAAAATAGATTTTTAAAGGAGGGGGTGTAAACATTTTGTTGCATAGCCCATTAGCCCCATTTCACTTGGCTGAATTTCAGGTGCGAAACTCAGTTAAGAAAAATAGATGAATGGAATTTAAAACATCACTCACTGTCATTGCAAAATGGAATCAGCTCACTTCTAGGTTAACCTGAGAGGGTTTGTTAGTCTCCTAAGGCTCAACAAGGTAACTAAATATCAGGAGGCAAGTTGCCCTAGATCTCCAGAGTAGAAAATGGTGGGCATGTTTAGAGAAAATTAATTCAATTTTCAGGAAAACCTGTGTCCAAGAGGTTCCTGGTCCTATGAAATATTCTTGACAAGAGGAATTTAATTGACCTTTTAAGATACAATAAATATTTAGGCTCACTCAACTGAGAATAAGATTACATTGGAAAATACCATTAGCTTGTCTTGTGCAGACCCTGGAGCTCCAGAAGACGGAGGATGTGTTTGGGACGGGGAATGTGCTATCTTGGATACTGGGGTCTGCGGGGGATCTTTACTCAGTGCAAATGTTAGCCTTTTTTGGAAAAGCTGGTTTACTGTATATAAGCATTGTGGGTGTTGGGAAAATACAGGATTCCCGTTTCTCCTTCCTGGGAATACTAGGTTGCTTCTCTGTGGCAATTTCACCAGTTGCTACTGAATGTTGCTGTTAGTAAACCAAAGGACTCAGCACAGCAAAATGAACAAATGGAGATATATATATATATATATACAAGCCCCTCAGGGAGTCGAATGCACTGGCTGGTGCTGGCCCGGGGGGTCTGCTCTGCTTCTGGTTCGCGTGGGTCAGAGCCGTGTCAGCAATAACCCTCCCGGCAGCTCCTGGGAAAAGGGCTGGAGGCTGCGGAGGAGACGGCAGCGGCACTGTGCCGCTTAGTGCGTCCCGTTCCGCCCCAGTCCTGCTCCACGTTGCGGGCCGAAGCGTAGGAAGTTCCTGTTGTCTCTGCCCAGGCCATCCTCACCCAAGAGGGAGCAGACTCCAGTCTTCAGAGCTGTCGATTCAGCGTCTTGTGTAGTGCTAATCTTGTCATATTTGATAAGGCAAACTGCAGAGCGCAGGAAGGCAGCTTAGCCTGAAAGCTATTAAGCTGTAATAATATATATGACAATAGTGCTGTGGCCCAAATTCCTCTCCGTTTCCAGCACGGTGCCTGCCACAACCCTTGTGTCTTCAGCCCCTTCCGTGTAAACTGCTCTCTGCTGTGTCTGGACCGTAAACCCAGATTAACCTCTATCTTGCACAGCCTTCTGCTGTCACACTTCTGTTACAGTAAATTTTCAACTTCAGAAATGCTGATTCCAGAGAAGATGTCTCCAGAAAATGGTTTATCTCCAGAAAATGGAGCCCAAAATGTTATCTTCCTTTTTCCTTGCTATTTTGATTTGCATGGCTAGCTGCGCCCCCTCTTCCCTCCAGCTTTCATGTGCTGAGGAATCTGAGCGTGCATCAGAAATAATTATACAGGTGGGACAGACTGATTAAAGATACATGAAGTTTGCTAGTTGTTGGTCTTATCATTGCATGTAGCTTGAACGTCAGAAATTTAGAAATTTCTGTGTGTCTTGATAAAAGCTAGTGCCTTTACCGTGCTTTATTTTCAAAGGCTTTACTACTGTTAATGTTTTTGAGTGGACTTTGTATCTAAAAGTTCTCCCTTGAAGAATCTATGACCAAATAAGGCAGCTTGCAGCTACCTGCTTTAATACCCTGAAGGTTATTAAACCCTGCAAGTTGGAGTGTTTTTATTTTGCTGAATTGAAGCTGTGGTTAGCTAGCAGAGTCCACCTGGCCAGATTAAAATCTGTGTGTTTTGCATATCTAAGTGGAAGCAAAATGTATTCACAGCATAGCTGTTTATATTGTGTTAGAAAAAGAATATATAAAAATATGGAATTTTGGGGGGGGGGGTGCTAATTGTGCTTGGATGCAGTCAAACATGTTTGTTTGAAATTTAAATGGAGTGTTTTGTACTGTTCGCCTTCCCTAAAATTAGTTGGACATCTTGCTTTAATCCTTTTTAGAGGGGGAAAAAAATATTACTCTGGAGAGTAAGCTGTAAGAAATACTCTTTTAAAATTGAGATTGCATATAGGGGATTATTTCTTTTACTGATCCTGAGACACACTTTCTGCATTTACAGTACTCCTAAAGCAATGACAAGAGCTAGAATATTGCATGCAGTATGTAAATATGTATAGTCCTTGTTCTTACAGTGTGGAAAAGATAGTATTTTTCTTACAGAAAGCAGCATTAAAGTTGCTTTTCTGACCCTGAAAATGCACTGCTGAATGTTATTGGAAAGGATCATATGAAGTAGTACAAGCTCTGTGTATCTTCAGGTTTGTCTAAATCTGTGTTAAATGTACAAGTGCAAAATCGTTGTGCAGGTGCTGACCAGTTTTAGGTGTCAGCCAAGTATACAGAAGCTGCTAGATGTTCAGCATTGCAGCAAACCTGCTTTCTGCATCAGATCCCGAAACGTGAACGCGCGTCTGGGTCTCTGCTGTACTGCAGCAGCCCAGCGGGAGCGTCGAGCGCCGGGGGAGCCGGCCTGGGGTTTGCAGAAGTAGGCAACGCAGCTGCGAAAGAAGTGGGCTTTGGTTGAAGTAGGGCATGTTGCAGACATGGTCTTTGCAAATGATGGTAGTTAAAGTCTGAGAGGCTGTAAATGTTTTTGTACTCGCATTCGTCTCCTCAGCTCTTCTGAGATAGTGACCAGAAGTGAAATGTGGGTCTAGAATATAAAATTCCCAGCGGGCAGGAGTTGTCTCCAGCATTAGGGTCTCGTAGCCCCTGTCTGCACCCCATTCGTGCTCACATAACTAGACGCGTGAGTGTGTTGGATCTGGCACTGCGTCACGAAGCTCCTTGGAATGCGCTTGGATGCTTAAAGTTTGCCTGGCTGTTGAAGGGCCCTCCTGGATGAGAAGGGCAAGCCCTGGGTTGAGATGAGCGTGTTACCAGTAAATTCACTCTTATTTTAGGACTGAATTCTGTAATCCATTAAATTCACCAGATGTTTGCATGGAGTAACTGCAAGCCTGAGATCATAAAGAATAATTTAATCTCTTGAGAACAACTGATAACTGCTAAAATCCTTTTTTTTTTCTTTTCAGTAGAAGAGCTCACTTGTTTATTTTCACTGTATTTTTCATGCTGAGAAACTTGGGGTTTTTTGTAAAACCTTTTTAGATGCTGCTTTTATCTTGTAGCTCATATTTAACAGTCCTAAATTCAATAAAAAAAATTGTCCTTTGGGAAGCTGTCAGTGAACTTCCTTTATTAACATGAGGAAATACACAGAGCTAAAGGAGGTTCTTGGTTCTTCTTTCAACCCATGGAGTAAATTACTTTGGCAGTCAAAGCAATCGTAACTGGCTGTTACTGAATACATCATAAGAAGAGAGTTGTTGGAAAAAAAGAGAAGGGGGGAGCAAAGTGTGTGAAGGGGGAACCAGCTCCAAAATTTGGGGGAGAGAATCCTTGAGCCTGTAATTTAAAAATTGAACAGTTCATCACAGTTTTTAAGATGTATTGTTTTCCTAGTAACCTTGAAGAATTCATTGAAATGCAAACATAGATCAGGCAAACCGTCAGCAGGATGAACACAGACTGACAAGAGGATCTCAGCATAACAAATATGGTTTATGACCTTTTGTTTAATTACGTTCATACATGTGTGTTTATAACAAAAGCTAGAACAAAAGTTTCTGCAAGCGACCATCTAATCCATCCTCTCCTTTTCTTTTCCTCCCGTTGCGAAGTGAAATGTTCCAACAGACATGGACTGGAGATACCTTTCCTTCCCCCTTGCTCCGTTTCATCTAATCTGCTCGCTGGCTTATCTACTCCTGTTATATGGATATTAATAAAGTGATAGCTAGCGAGAGAAGAACTCTTTTTTGGTCTTCAGAAATGTGATTGATAAGTGACAGCCTGTCCCGTGGTGCCTGCAGGTTTTCCCTGGCCCCCATAGCCTCGTTGGCCCCTCCCAGCTTTGCCTCGGGGGGGGGGTTTCTGGGTTCCCTGGCTTTGGGTGTAGGGGGCATAATAAATGGATTTGACACCAGCTCGGGGATCAACTTCAGTGTAAATGACATTGGATGGTCTTTTGACCATGGGAGAAAGCATTTGTTGCAGACTCTCTGCAGAAGCTGTGCTGGTGCACGCATACGCTACAGGCGTATCTCCTGTTCAGCGTGGTTTTACTCTGCAGAAGGTATAGAAATAAGAAATCTTAGTGCTTTTACTTGAATACCATGTGGACTTGTGACTTACAACCCTCGTTTGTACACACTATTTTAAACTGCTAATTTTACTTTGGAGATATCTTGCTGTACGTGACAGAGTCAGCGTGTTTGCGTAGGTAGACAGTGATTTAAGGAACCCCAAGGAAGACTGGGTCACTTGTATACTTTGTTCAGGCGACCTTTTCCCAGAAGCAATGTATCGTTTCAAGCACTAGCAGAAGGGCTCCTGGAAGTTGATGATTTCATTTGCAGAAGGACCACGCTGTGTCTCTGCAGAGATGCTCTCCCCCCGACGTTTGCTGCTGCTGTTTTGTACAGTGTTTCCACAGCGAAACAACCTCATTTTCTCAAGTGCTGTGCCTGGATACTGGAGGACGTTGTATTCTGATCTTGTTTCCATGCTTTGCTGGAAGTTATTCAGCTACCCGCTGTTGAAGCCCCGTGCTCTTAATTCCCGTTTGCTTTCTGTGTCATTGTGGAGGAAAGAAATGGGAGGAGTAGTATCCCAGGCCCTGGGAGGTGTGCGGTGGAGGGGCGTTTGGCTCCACGTAACACGTTCAGCAGTTGGATCAACGCTACGGCAGATGGTCCCAAACAGGTCCTAAGACACAGCTCAGCCAGTTGGACCGACCCCTCTGTACTGGTGTTTTGGCTCATGTTGCAGTATGTGCCATAGCTCCTGCAGTGATTTGGCAAGATCTGGGTCTTTGCAGCCATCTTCTTATGTGAGTTGTAAATGCATTTGAAGCTTCAGGCCCTAGAGCAAAGTAGCCAAGCTGTGGAAAAAGTTTACAGCAAATTTAAAACGATTCCAAGCTTTGGATTTCCATAAGACTGTGATTTATGGCATAATTTCCTTTTAAAAATTGTGCTTTAATAGGCATACTCGTGGCACAATTTTGCTGGTGCTTATTTGAATCCTGGTAAATCATAGAGGGTGTTTTCTGGGTTTTGCGTTGAGAGTTTTTGTGTGTCTAAGCATGAAATTTAGCAGGGAAGAAAGGGAGTGCAGATCAAACCAAAAAGAAATGTGTTTCAACAAAACAAACCCACCACATTACCTTGAAGCTCTGATAGCTGATGGAGATACCCTTTTGTGGGGCAGAGTTGTTTCCACGGCCGCTTCAGTTTCCGGGGCAGTGCTGCTTCCAATGCCTGTATACGTTCAGAGGCGTCAGGAGACGTGAAAGGTGGCAGCAAAGCTTTGTTGCTACAAAACACAGCTGCCGAAAGATAAGGGTGCTGCTTTTATGCTGCTGTTTGTTGCTGGTGTCTGTATTTTTCCACGTGATTGAGCTTAACACAAAGTTATGAATATGCTATGTTATGCAAAATAAAAAAAAAAAAACCAGTCAC